ACCCACATTCTATTCCCAAGCTGCCTCTGATTGGTTTATCATAATGTCAGTCACTTTCGTCCTTGAGCTTGGCTTCAAGAATTAAAATAGACTTTGGTTGTGAGCAAAATGGGAGCTTTCTGTTTTTTTTGTTTTTGTTTTTGTTTTTTTGTTTAAAAACATTTCCATGTAGCTTTTATTAATTAAAATTTTTTTTTTATTATTATTTTAGTACATCAAGGTAAACTAAAATAAATATATTAAATATATTTAAATATATTAATTATGTAATAAATGTAATCAATATTATATATTTATTTATGATAGAAATATTGCCTTGGCAACTACCTGAAATAAAATAAATCACACACACATACACATATATATATATATATATATATATATATTTATATATATATATAATAACCCTGGTGCACACTTGACATGCTGCAGAAATAGTAAGTATTTTATTAGTTATTCTTTTGTAAGGGTTGCCAGTGCACTAATAAAAAACCAAAGTGTGACATGCATGCACGTGTACATTTGACACTTTTTTAGAAAATATATATATATATATATATATATATATATATATATTTATATAGATATATAATAACCCTGGTGCACACTTGACATGCTGCAGAAATTGTAAGTATTTTATTAGTTATTCTTTTGTAAGGGTTGCCAGTGCACTAATAAAAAACCAAAGTGTGACATGCATGCACGTGTACATTTGACCCTTTTTTAGAAAAAAACTTCTCATTTCTCAGTTCCATGTTTGTCCTTGTTATGGACTCAATGACTTCCTCTTTCAGAACCTGACATTCCATCCTGTCCTGCTCTCATCCAATCACTTAGTGGTCTATTAACCGTGGAAACCATGCCATGCCATGGCATCACTCAAACCAGGCGCCGCTTATGGCCATGGCAACCATGCTGTTTTGGCACTGCCAATAAAAACAGTGCTAGTACCGATTTTAGTCATACTTAACTGACACAAAATATGGTATTTAAAACATTTACTGTGCAATGTGACAAATATGGCAATACTATGGTACTTCTTTATAAGTTTTAACTTATTTGAATATTTAGAATGATTCTTAGTGATGTAACTTTAATTTTGTGGTCAAATGCAAGGCAGAGATTGTGTTTTTTCTGTCGTTGTGGGAGAGGAAATGGGAGGCAGAAACAGGAAGCAGTTTCAAGTGCCCAATTCAGTTCATTAGGCACAGAAAGAACTAGAAGACAAGCGGTTTATGGGCTTTCGGTCTTAATCTGAAGTAGATTTACAGGCAAACTGTCTAAAAGTGAGAGAGAAAGTGGTGGCCGACCATAAAACTTACCATTGCCAGCCGTAGTTCCTGCCAGTTAAAACTGTGGTGAGTCACTGTTATTGAGAAAATAAATAAAATGACAAAGATGCTTAAAGCTTCTAACATTCCCATCTAAATTCCTTTGAATTTTACAGTAGTAACACTAGTTAAGCTTTCGGTTATTTTGGCGGCAACAATGGTTACCATGGTAAATCTTTTTAAGTTTCACAGCTGCGGTGCGTGTGGGGTTCATAGGGTTGCCAGATGTTGGTTATTTGATGAGCGAGTAGCCAGATGTGATTGTGGTGTGCGATGTGAGCTGCAGGTGGAGTGGTGGATGGAGCTTTATTGATTTGGCTCTGTGATTTCTACACAGTGAAAAACCATTAAATTCCCCTTCACTAAAAGCAGCTGAGCAATAGATTACCTCACCCTACATGACTTTCTTCCTTCTGTCTGCCGTATCCCTTTTCCTTTTATTTTCTCTTTTCATTTTTGTCATTCTAAATCATTAGTACTTTAGTTCTTTAGACAAATCTCTGAGGAAGTAAACAACCTCTGTATAAAAGTGAGATTGTAGTATTTGGCTTGCGTTTTACCATTTAAGTTTGAGGTGGGTAAGATTTTGTAAATGTTTTTGAAAGTCTCTCTTATATTAATTAGATCAAAAATAATGTAAAAACAGTAATATTTATTATAATTTAAAATAACTGTTTTCTATTTGAATATATTTTAAAATATAATTTATTACTGCGAACCAAAGCTGAATTTTCAGCATCATTACTCCAGTCTTCAGTGAAAGTTGCACTCACTGCATTATCAACACAGATTTCGTTCAGTAGGATGTAAACAGCGCCCTCTGGTCTGAGTGATTTGGTGATTTTACAGTCACATCTTCCATTCAGCATTAATAAGGATTTATTGCTGTTCTCTTAATGTATACTTGTTTTTAAATCTGATTACTAGCTATCTATACCCTGAGCGGAAGAGGAGTTGACTTCTCTTCTTCTGTATCTAAGTGCTTGTGATAATCTGAGTGTGTGTGTTTGCATCTAAATGTAGTAATTCACTCTCACTTCTTCAGGTCTGCAAGTTGAATCCTTGGATTACCATCCAACCTTTGATCTCGTAGCATTCCTGCCCAAACTGCAGCCTATGGCTGTCGCTATCAAATGCATGTGTTTTGTGTGTGTGACAGTGTGTGTGTGTGTTTCAGGATGGAGAGGCAATAAACCTGAGAAGGCTTCTCTTCTCACATCACACTTTGAACATAAGCTACCTATATATGAAGACAGATAGAGTGTGGATGTGTGTGTGTGTGTGTGTGTGTGTGTGTGTGTGTGTGTGTGTGTGTATCGACTGAATGTGAATGATCAATAACATTTGTCAGTTTGTCATGGCAGGGTGCAATTACAGCCACAGGATCTGTGTGTGTGAATTTAAACTGTTTAATTGACTTGATGTCCAAAGAAACAACATTTATATCAAGACTATTATATGTTTGAAATCTAATTAATTAGCTATATATATATATATATATATATATATATATATATATAGCTAATTAATTAGATATGTGTGTGTGTATGTGTATGTAAGTATATTATATATATATATATATATATAGAATTATATGTAATTTAATATAA